AATTGAACCAGAAACACATTTTCCGTTTTCTGTGACCTTAACCTTGCTTATGTACGCACGGTAGTCTCGCCTGTAAACTTTGGCACGATCTCGGCATTATTCTATACCGTGAGATCGCCAACAAATATACATTCGTTTCCCCATCCAATCCTCTTCCTCGTTTCAGTGATACTGAGGGATTTGACACGTGATTGGTCTGTCGTGGTGATCATACTCAAATTCGACTCGACACACTAAATCTGGTGAGCGACAACTTCGAACACTCAACAGCTGCTGTAGGATCTCCCAAAGAAGCCAGTTACTGTGATTCTGTTCACGTATCCATATTCTTTAATAATAAGTTTTTGAATATTTCATATCAATACTTTTTAATATATATTATACTTGAAACATCTTTTTGAAATGAATGATAGGTTTAAGAATGGTGATAATATAATAGACTCCGAAGTACAGGTTATAATTTTCGACCTGTTTCTATTATTCTCCACGATTCAGGAGTTTGTTTCGTGGCACTAGACGCTCAGTTGTAGATCCGCCGCATTATGAACCAGCTGCAGAAATAAGCCTACACACTGGAATATACCTAACGTCTACGGTCATCTCAAGGAGGTGATTCTGAGACACTTCCTCCTGTCAAGGAACGAACGACTTAGAACATAAATAGAACGTCCCCCTCTGGGTGATGTTAAACCGAACCATCACCTGACGCGCGTGCAGTCTTTGGCAGGACACACAATAGCTGATCTTGAAATAGTTAAGGAAATGTGGCTCGAATCTTTACCAGCCCTGCTCGAAAACTCACCGCTTACCCAGGTTGTCCACATAGCAGACAAAATATTAGCAATGACTAGCACTGGGGGCAAATTTATTGGTGCCTCCAAGTCATATTCAAATGTGTATCTTGCCGCTAGTCACTTTTCAGCTCACGTGGTTCGGGGTCACTATATTTAGAGCCATCCAAAGTTTTGAGACCGTTCCAACATCCTAGAACCCTACGTAACCCAATCCAGGCCGCGATCGCGTACAGAGAGTGCATTCCGAGCCACGCCAAAAAGTAGCTTCGAAAGCCCGTACGGGGTTATGCTGGTTGCACCGTACCTTCAAGTCAGATACTCGCCATTGTCAAGCCACTTGCTCCCGTGCCGTCGAATAAATGCGGCCGTACTCGCCAGCCCCTCATCTCAAGTTGGCCGTTAAGTTTATGTGCGCGACTTTTGTACTAACGCCGGATACCTAGTAGACGCTGGTGCCCAAGTTTCTGTTGTACCGATCGGTAACAGCAAGTCTCAACCTACGATGATTCGAATACGCCCTGCGAATTGTTCAGTGATTCTTAACTATGGTACACTAAAGCTTACGGTCAACATGAGCAACTGACGATAGTATCTGTGGATGTTACTCATTTCCGATGTTCTCATAGCCATACTCGGTATTGATTTCATACAGCATTATGAATTGCTAGTCGATTCCCATAGACTGCAGCTAAAGGATACTTGGTCGATCAGTAAATCCTTGTACTAAAAAGCTGAAACAGATGCGCACCGAATCACTGGCGTCTTTCATTCGCGTTACGATGTATTTTACGTTTGATTCGAAAAATTCTACCAGTAACTAAACCCATTGAGGCTATCCCATCGTCGACTAATCCTAGGGTACACCACATCGTCACCGGCGGACCACCGGTCATGACAAAACGTCTCCGACAGATAACGGACTAATTAGTTTTCGCTAAATGTGAGTTCAGATATTTACGAGCTGCTGGTATTATTCGAACATCTCACAGACCTTGGACCTCGCCGCTTATTTTGCATGTCAGTTGATACACTTGAGACTATTACGAGTTCACCTTAGTCGAAAAACGAGAACCAGACAACGTTCCGGTGACAAGATAGGCTACTCTAATCCATTACATCGTCTAACTCAATAAGTTCTGGTATGGCGTAGAAATTGTATTCCACAAGCACTCAGAAAATATAATAATCTCAAGCACTCAAATCGAGTTTACTTATACACCATAGCAGCGTCCTTGGGAGAGCTAGAAAAATAGCGTACTAAAATAACACATCAGCCAACTACAGTCAAGGAAGTTCCTGGTGGGAAATGTAGTCTCAAGGTCAACCAACCAGTCCGTGCTCCAAAACATAAAATCCGAAATTAGGACCTTCATCAAGTGAGTTCTGGGGATCTAACGCCCCAACACCTCGCCACATGGTTTGCGAGGAGGATGGTTTTAGTTTGACACCGTGCGGCAACTGCCGAGCATTGAACCTAACTACTTTCTTTGACAGCCTTTCCATCTCCCACATACCGGACATCACGGATTCACTTGGGGGCACTGCTTTTTATTCTAAGATTGATCTGGTACGAGGATATAATCAAATCCCTGTCGCTCTTGAAGTTATCGAGAAAACTGCTATCACCACTCCTTTAGGTCTTTTTAAGTTCCTACGAATGCAATTTGGATTACGGAATGCTGCTCAAACTTTCCAAAGTTTTTTCGATAGCATAGTATAAGACATAGATTTCATTCAAGTTCATGCTGATGATCTGCTAATCACATCAATAGACATTGATGAACATTATCAGCATTTAACAGTCCTATTCCAGCACCTTTCGAAAAACTGAATTATAGTCAATCATGAGAAGTGGGAACTTGAAAATCTGGAACTGAAATTTTTAAGTCACATTATTAGGCAAGAGGGTATTTTACCTTGTGAGGACAAAGTCCGTGCAATAGCGGAGCCTGCCGTACCCTACACACTCAAGGAACTGAAGGGTGAAATCGCAGTCTCAAGAGGTACGTACAGGACTGGCGTCACTTATTCTGGTCTCCGAGTATGCCTACATGTACGTTTTCGTGGCTTACCTCTCATTCGGCAACGTACACAGTATAGGACTCTATCCCCATACTATATGCATGACACACCTTTCTCTTTTCTTTGATTTTTTATCCTCAACCCACCGTTTCGACCATCTCCCTGTTGGTACTGTCGAGTTCAGCCGATCTTGGTGAAAAGTGGCCTAATCACAAACGCTACTGTCAGTGTACTCAGTCTATGTTTAGGTTCCGAGTATGTCTGGCATACATAAATTCTCTAACTTGATTGTTTGCTTCTGGTTACTTAGCTTAATGCGGTTCCGACGTGTGTCCGCAGCGTTTTCTGGCCTGCACTGCCGCGAAAGCAATCTTCAGATTCTAGACACAAACCGCCCTGATGTGGTACGCTACATCTGGTACCGTTTTACGTAAAGACCTTCGGTGTCAGCTTGAGGATCAACGATCTCTTCCTGTTCGTCAAGACTCCCGTCTTAGAATCACACACTGGTCGATAACACGATAACCGCTACGTAATGAAAGTGTAAACCCTTTCTAGCGGGGGCTCTTGTGATGATCCACTTTTATATAATGGAAACGTTTGTTGTTATAATCAGTTGTACCAGCTACTGTTTCACTGTACTTTTCTGTTTAATTGAACCAGAAACAAATTTTCCGTTTTCTGTGACCTTAACCTTGCTTATGTACACACGGTAGTCTCGCCCTTAAACTTTGGCACGATCTCGGCATTATTCTATACCGTGAGATCGCCAACAAATAAACATTCGTTTCCCCATCCAATCCTCTTCCTTGTTTCAGTGATACTGAGGGATTTGACACGTGATCGGTCTGTCGTGGTGATCATACTCAATTACTACTCGACATACTACAAGGTTGTGCAAACACGTTTGTATGATATGTACAATAGACTGAAGTAATGAAACTTTGTTTCCGAACATACTTGAGAAAACAAAATTACAGAGAATCAGTATAACGATATCTAGTAAATATTGAAGAAACACAGCTAAACAAAATAACCACTTTTTAAATTGATATTAGGGATTAATTGTATTCCGTATATCATCTAGTACTACTCATTAGTGTCCAGTTCGTGCTCTAGTAGTCGTGCATGAACGATTTTTGAATTCACGAAGAACTATATGAACACAAACAAAAGTATGGTATTGTATTCCTCCATCCTGACTTAACGATTCACATGAATTCCCGATGAGCAACCCATACCGATATCTTGACTGAAGAAAAAGAAGAATGATTACATGACTTTTTCGTCGAATGCTTTCCGTATTAAAGATTTCTCTCAGTTTTCTGTGTAATCAGCTATGTGTTTCAAACTTAGAAACCTGCTACCTTGATTAGAGAGAATCACAGAGCACTTGCGATAACAAACATTCTGGGTATTTCCTGACTCAATCAGAGCATAAGATTGCAAATTCTTAGATAGTTTAGAGTCACATCAGCACTTCTTGGTAATATCGAAACATTATGACTCATGTAAATATAACTTCTTGTTTTGCACAGCCTTAATGCTTTCCCTTAATCTATGTTGAATGCTGGAAGACTAGTGTATATGAATTATGACCATCATTTGTATAATGGTTGGAAGTTGATGAATTCCATTTGGCTGATGAAGGTTCTCCTAAATGTCCAATTTTTAATCCGGTAGTCGTATTTAAACAGGAACCGACGTTAGAAATGACAATACGTGTACATTCCGAAGTAGTGTATTGTAACATTCGAAACCTTACTCAATCAATTCCTAGTTTCGTTTATCAGTTCATCTTGATCTCACGCTGGCTTTATATCTGGTTGCTGTCTATTTATTCCTATATTGCATGTAAGTGCGTTCTGTGTGCTTGACGAGTCGTCGGCTCGTCTTTTTCTCTTGTCCTTTCTTCTACCAGATAATCCTATAGGCTGTTCCTCATATCCACCTAGCGCACAGGGTACCTCCTCTGTAGACGCAAACCAAATAAAGGCTGAAGTTACAGTATTATTCATTTGAACGAGTCACAGAATAATGTGCAGGTAATAATCGTTGCCTACGAACATCACAGTTTATCTTTATAAGAAGTGTTTAATTAGTAAATTCGGATTGTATTCTGGATCTTTGACCTTGAAATTATTTAAGTGTGGTCATTCTGAAGCTTAACGTTACCAGTTTATTATGACTGCCAGTGAAATAAAAGTAAAGTCTAAGGCTGATGATAGCTCTGACAAGAAAAATCAAAAGCCAACTGAGAAAATAGACATAACGTTGTTGGAAGAAGACGACGACTTTGAAGAATTTCCAGCTCATGGTAATAATGGATGTTACTAATTATTTTGAAAATATCACATTAGCTTGCGGAGATGGCCGTCCTAACGAGGAAGCTACAGTTTGGGAAGATAACTGGGACGATGATATTGTAGATGACGAGTTCACACATCATCTAAGGTATTCATGATAAATCAATGTCATTTCTTTCCAGAGCTGAGTTCCAAAAACAAGGAAAAGCTTTTGTCGTACCTGAAATCTCTGCAAATTTAGATTAATGACTCCAAAATATAAATTTAATTGAATAAAAGTTTTTTGTTAACCTCCTGTGTTGTTTTGGTTTGGTCGTTTGTCTTCTATTTGATTGAGCTTTTAGTAAATTATATTTGTCAGTAAGTTGGTTTGCTAAATGGTTGAGTTTTTGTAGCTATTCAGCCTGCAAACAAACCCTAAAATCTAGTCGAAATCTTTTTTCCGCCACCCCATTTTAGACACGTTTCGCGAATTGTAGGGTCTTTTGAATCCATTATGGGTTTATTGCATTTGATTGTGAAAAAAGTACCAACCCTTGATCATTGTTATTTCGAACGTTCGCAAATAATGAAGTGAATCGTCTGTCTCTCAAACCTAGGGCTATCTTTAAAGTTGATTTTGGATAGCTATGCGTTCTCGTTAAATGACATTCAAGATTAAGGTAACCGATCCAATCAACAGTACGCTTGACTTGAATGACTTATGCTGTAACTGAAACTCAATGAACCAGGGTTGTAAGTTTGAGTTGTATTATTTGAATTTGGTTAGTAGTAGTTTATAATGTTCTTCCACTATCAGCGTATTTCACTACATTATTTTGTAGTAGTAACGTCTAAGTATACGCTTTATTACTGTTGTCTTTATGCTTAAAATAGATTTCTTATTCAAATATTGACACTATGTTATCAGATTCAAAATTCGCATCGTCTCGGTGTATTTTGTCAATGCTAATGTTTCTGATGACGTATGGATTTCCAAGTGTTTCATTTGCTAGCCTTCAAGCTGTTTGGTAAGTAGTACAGAAAACGTACCATGAATCTTAGTAGTTCACAACAGGTTGACTGGTCAAGTCCTGTATGCTTATTGAGGCATATTGCCTAAATATGCAATAAAGTAGCTGTTTTAACCCATATAATTTTGTATTTCTGAATATCCGCGTAAGCGTAGGATAAAGCCTAAATAACTTGCCTAGTTACCATCATATAAATCTTAGTATACTACAATGTATATTCTCTGGAAATAATTGATATCTTGTGTTTCACATTTGAGTTACCAATAGCTTTTCTACCGTCCAAGAATGGAAAGTCTGCTCCTCTTCCCGAAATGTTCACATATGGCCACGTGTTAATAGCCACTGGCATGCAAGTCCTACTCATTGTCTTCTCATGGCGAAGAGTGTTGTTTGCAAAATTGATAGGACGGAAAGTGAGTTTCCGCTGCTTTAGCCGAGTTAGTGCGTACGAAGCATCCACCTCGTGGAGATCCATGATGTTAACGGGACTAATGGCTTATGAACCTAATGTTGGTCACTAGCTACCGTAGAACTGCTTGCTTCTGTTCTTTTCTCAGTATCCTGGACAAATAGCTTTCAAGATATAATACTTGAGGCCAGCGTGTTGTTTGTGTTTGATGGAACGAAAGACCGCGTAAGTTGTCAAACCTTGAGTTTTCGGTAGAAACAACAAATCAATCCACAAGGCTATTAGTCTGCATATTACGCACACCAAGCCACTATCTACTTTAGTACGTTCTCTGTCTAGCTTACAAGTTGGTGGGAAAAACTCTAAGGAATCCCAAACCAGGACATGAAATTAGTTCGTAAATTCATCGCCTGTTGGTCTTAGACATATAAGATGTAAGTTTCCCAACTACAGATTTCACTGTAACTTTAGTCTGTGATATGTGATGTTGGGTGACAGTTCTCCAACTTGGTTATAGTTGAATTCATTCTTCATTTCGCTGTAAATCTTAACACCGTTTTTTCAATTCTCCTGTCTCACTCTTTTCTATTGATTAATCTCTATTTTTAATTTTATTCATCAATTAAGAAATTTTGGATCAAACAATAATCAGCTTTTTGGCCTAGGTAAATATTCGAATCTGATATTGTCGTCTTATGCAATCATTTTCGACTAAGTTACTTGTAGAAATATATATATATATATATATATATATATATATATATATATAGTCAAGGATAAATGTTTGTACCCACTTTCAAGTTAATGTTAGTTAACTACTTTTTAAGTCGTTTTCTTAGATTTTATGACTATACATTCTTCAGTTATATAACTTAGAAGATTTAAATACTTGTTCTCGATATAATCATCTCAGCACTCGGTAACTACGTTCTTTTCAGAGGTCTACATCTTTGAACATGTTTTTTCGACAGCATAATAACCATTCTCCTTTTTCGTTTTTAGATATGCAATCTATAAATAATACACTGGATGAATACATAACTACTGGTTCTCCTTCACAAGAGTTCTATTCAGGAGAGGTCCCAATAAAACGTAGTCCAGAATCATATTCAAACGAATTCGGCTCTGTAAATCCACAACACGACGATGACCTATACAAATCTGTTTTTAATAATATACGTCCTCTGGATGAATTTGAAGCAATTCCTTCACATTCTCCAGAAGAGACTTTACTCCTTACAAACGTAAATGGCTTCTGGAAGCAAGAAAATATCAAGTGGTCATCAAATAGTCCTAACTGTTCTTCTCCAACGAGTCCATCATTCTCCTGTCATTCTGTTTCTTCAGATTCTCTTAGCGATGAACCTGAACACAAACCTCAACCTTTCCTACGTTCTCGTCATGATAGTAGCTCTGAAGAAGTAAGTAGAGCTGACGAAATGAAAGAAAATATGAAGTCTATCAGACCCACTTTTATGCGACATATGCAGTTTTCGACTAAAATGTAAGATTCTACAGTAAACTATTATTTAACTTAGTTTCGCCATTACGTGACAACATGCTTTAGATAATACATGAATTTTTTTTGCCTACATGTTATATTTATTAGTAACAGCTCATTGGTAAATTTAAAACACACAATCCCCTCTCTATCTCACCATGTTATCGCACCTCAAAATCATGTGTCTGTTATTGGAAATAGGCATAAACTTTATTCCAAGTCATTTCCGCTCGTTCTGAGCCTTCAAGTTCCAACCAGTGATCACAAGTTACCCTGTCTATCGATATCTTAGCAACCAGGGATCATCGTTATTCCACACTTGATTATGTGAACAAAGTTGTTCTTGCTCATATGATGACAGTTTTCCAAGTTTTCTAGTGGAAACTAGATTTTGACTTTTAGTCATTGTGGTTGCAAACAAATGGTAACATAATATCGTATCTAACTGAAATCTTATTACGACTAGTTTCACCTCGTGGTCAACTCATGTGTCAGCATTTTCACAAATTTTATTTCCGATTAATTGAATTTCAAACTGTATATAAAGTATAACGTTTTCATTTCCAATTGTATTTATTATTTAAGTTGCACTCAATGGAGGCAAAATCTCAACAAATCCCACATTGTTCAAAGCAGTCTAAACTCCACAGCTCGTAAGAAAGCCTTACTAGCTAAGGCGGTCAGTCGCAAGCTGATATATTCAAAACTGTCTAAGTCTTCCTCAGTTCAAGTGAATCACTGTCGAGAACCTTGGCAAGTGGGCGAGCTAGTTTGGGCCCGTCCTAATTGGCCCGAAAACTTGCCTTGGTGGCCAGCCATTATAACTGAAAAACCGAAAAAGTATCAAGCCAAGAGTTTTGGTAAGTCTATCAATGTAGGCGATTTGGAAACTTAATAATTCTTAGATTCATATCTTAAATAATTGATACAAATGTTTCTTTTTTTTAATATGAGACGTTTTCTTGGAGGCGTATTTGATTCCAAAATTCACACTACTTATTTCTAGCACTCATAACTCCCACTTGTTTCATACATATCCTGTAGGCTAATTTTTGGTTAAAGTTGATTGCAGAGAACACTCTTTAACATCACTCTATATGTGTTATGTAGGAGGTTTTTAGTGATTCGATGATCGAATTTCCGATTGTTGTTCAAATCAATGAATAAAATACGAACTGTTAGATGAAAGGAGTGTTATGTTATGATTGAGTGATGGCTATTCATGAGGTTGCATGATTGGCTTAGGCCTGAGAATGATCAGCAATCAAAAATAAAGATCACAAAACAGAAGAATAAACCATTTCAATTTAGTCAAATGACCTGCTAATGTACATAAAATGAACAAAAAATAATCATAATGAGATTTTATAAGTGATCAGAGGAAATTAAGACTCAGACCGACCATTCTCTAATCACTTAAAGCAAAGTTATTAGGCCTAATTTTTAACCATGAGATCACCTACACAAATTGGTGTGGAATGTTGCTGTGGTGAAACTGGAAAAAAAGATATCACTCTTGTTTCAGTCCATATATTCCTCGATTTTGTTACAAGTCACTTTTTTTGTATTTTCTTATTGCAATAGCCTCTGTGACATCAAGTGTAAGGTAAACTGGACACTTCTCGCATGACTTGATTTTTAACGATTCTAGAACCCAAAGCGTTCATATACTGTGATTGTAAAAGTCGATAATCTTCGTGAGATTTCTAAATGGGTGGTTAATGGTGGTTTACTTGACATACGGGCCATCGACTCAACCGAATATCGTGTAAAAAAATTGCAGGTTCAAAGCTTGCGGTCGTGGAATTCTCAAGGAACTTTAATCATGATACTTCAGTTGAATTCGACGGCGACTTCAAACTGCTCATTGACTTGGTTGTAATATTTCTTACGACCGTTGCATTAATGCATGAACTTAAATTTTCATCTGTACTGCTCTCTTTCATAAATGTATTAGATTCTTTGTTAAAAACAATGAGTGAAGTTCAGGGTTTAATTCATGTATAAGCATTTCAATAAGTTCGATCTGCAACTGTATTAACTCCCGACCGAAGCTGCTACCTTGACGCGGTGGTCGGGCTTGCCTATCGTGATGACCCAACCGAGCTATATTGGCTGGAACTTATTTTCCTGAAGGTTCTACCATGACAGGCAGGTCGATTGGAGAACGATGAGACTAAAAGCAGCTACCCAAGGTCTGAGGGCGAAGTCGAACCGCTGACTGCAGAGGGGTGTGATAGCAGTAAGGTGTTTCCCTCGGATAGCCAGCATGTGCAGCGATGCTGCCTTCTCACAAGGAAGGAAGGAAGAGTTAGAAAAGGTCGACCCTAGAAATGTCACACCTCACCATACCTCACGGATTTCCGTCTCCGGCGGTAAGGATGCCCACTACGGGCTTTCGAGATCGGAGCTAACACTCAAAAAACCCTTCATAAACAGGCCGTGCGTAACCGGCCTCAAGCAGTCGTCCCTTGAGCTCTGCAGTCACGCTCCCAGGTCATTAAGACCAACACTAATCTACATTCCTTTTCAGGTTCCTCAAGAAACAACCTTCCACAGTGTGGGCAGCCGGGAAATGACAACCGTCGTCATACCTGTAACAGCACACGAAACCAAATTGGTCAAAATCAAATCCTTCCTACACCCCCTAATACCTCTCTTACCTCCACGACTAACTCTTCTCACATTCATTTATCACAGTGCACCGCTAATGCAAACGATGTGAGTTCCCGAAACGTTATTCCTGGTCTCTGGAAACCTCGTTCTGGTCTACATTTTGGAGCATTTAATGTACGTACATTGTCTCAAATAGGGCAACAGGCTTCATTAGCTAGGACTTCAGAATCTCGTGCCATCGATGTATGCTGCGTCTCGGAAACGCGCATACAGGATCCGAGTAGCATCATTCACTTGACCTCACCATGTCAAGATAAAGAAGCAACTCGATTTACCCTTCATGTATCCGGTAGCCCTGATGCTGCTTCCGGCGGCCTCGCTGATGTAGGTATAGCATTGAGTCGTAGGGCAAAACAATCTCTCTTAGACTGGATTCCTTTAGATAGTCGCTTGTGCGCCGTCCAACTAAACGGGACATTAAGGACTAGGAAAGATAGGGACACTCGTCGTTGCCTCTTCGTCATATCAGCCTACGCCCCCACTGACTGCAGTTCAGACGATGTGAAAGATGAGTTTTACAGAAAGCTTTCGGACCTCCTCCAAAAAGTTAAGCGCTCTGATACAGTTATAATGGCTGGTGACTTCAATGCACAAGTAGGTAGACTAAGTGAAAATGAAAGACACCTAGGTGGATGTTATGGTGTCACGGCTAATAAATCAGACAATGGTGACCGTGTGTTGCAACTGTGCTCAGATAACCAACTATTTCTAGCAAACACTAATTTTGAGCATAAGGAAAAACATCTTTTGACCTGGCGACCCCCGAAGTCGTCTCAACGTTGGACGCAACTAGATCATATCGCCATCAGCCACCGATGGAGGGGTTCAATAGAGGACTGTCGCTCGTTCTGGGGCACATGTTTAGATTCAGATCATGCCCTTGTGCGAGCGCGTATTTGTTTGAGGCTTACTGGACGTAGGAAAGACACCGTAAGGAAGCCTCTTAGGGTTTTACTTGATGATAATCAAGCAAAGAAAATATTTCAGGAGGAACTAGAAAAATCGTTTGCAATGGCGCAGGTGCATCCACTCTTTGTATTCTCTCAAATCGTAACCTTCTGAATTCCTCATCACCTTTATCTTTTCTTTTTAAGTTTATTTCACTAGATTTTACTTCTTGAATAATATCTTTGAACCCTAATCTTTCCGATTACTTCTAATACTTTTCCTACCTCTACTACTATGGAATTTGAATTGACATTTGCTGCCGTGTGATTATGTGGTATGGCAATTTGAACTGATGTATGTACGTACGAAGTTCTACGTTACTGTTGATTGATTGATTGATTGAGTCCTTCCGCCATCCTTTTGTTATCATTCATATCCAAAAAGAAATGACTTTTGAACAGTCGAAAAGCATAAAAATCAATTTTTTTTTACTCGTTTTTTCCCGCTTATATTTTGCTTGTCAAGTTTTCAAGAATAAGTATAGCCTGTGAATATTACTCTTTTAAATTTATTTATTTGACCGTTTGTACAAATTGAAAACTAATCCTTCTATTATATTATTATAAAATCAAATAACAATCGTGATAATAATTGTATTTTTGAAAAAAAAAAACAAACTCTCTTTTTAGGTTCACAGTCAACAGATGATTTCAATGATGAAATAGTGCCTACATTTCGAGTTTGCCTATTGGGCATTATTCGACCATTGTCTTTTTTAACACTTCCACAAACTCGTTTACGATTATTTTCTGGTCGAGAAGAATTTGAATCATTTTTTCGTCAAACTATTTTAGAAGCAAAAGATAAAGTTCGAGTAAGTAGAAAAATAAATAACGCGTCTGATATTTTTATTTCAATTTTACCTCAAATAATTGGACCTTTTTTTTGTTTCTTTATTTCCAATTGAATTTGAATGATGACAACTCAGTGAAAATCAAGTACGAACGAGTTTTTATTTTTTTTTACCTATTTAATCCACATAAAATATGATACAACTGGGCATCAAAAGTAGTTTGCACAACATAAAAAAGAATAAGATTTGTTTGTAGGTTGGGATGCTGTCCAAATCGACGCAGGACGTTTTCCAGAAAGGTCACTCTATGATCCTTTGACCTATATAGGCGGACTCCACAAGTGACCTTAAATAGGTTCATTCATCGTTCTTTCCATTATGCTTGATCTTGAAACCCATGTATAACATTGACCTGGGATCAGAGTTCTCCAACTTTTCTCTAAGTAGACTGTTCGTATCCACCAACTTGGTTTCAGTATCGAATGTTCACTTTTAGTTCTCTCGCTTTCTCAACAGGAACCCTCGTTTCATCGGTAGGTTTTCTGTAGTAGATGATATAGACGTATCTAAATGAGAGCATTTTGGGAAAGAAAACAGATTTCATATTTCAATTTAATATAGATCTTCGGCTTGTTACGTATTTTTAAAGTTACTTCAATTAATGTCGATGAATTAGTCGTGCTCATCTTCTCAACATAAAAAAAAACAAAACAATTTAATTCTCCATCACTTATACACTTTAGGCATTACGTCAATTCACTATTCAACCAAGTATGCAATCAGCTTGGCATCGTGCTAGAGAGGCTGCAGTAGCAGCTAAATTAACTAAACCATCACCTAATGATCGATTAGCACTGTTTCCATGGGCAACTGAGCCTATATTTCGTAAACTGGATCCACTTTCAGAATTTGTAAGAAAAAGCACTGGAAAGTTCACCTTAAACTGTAAGTCCCTTTTAAATGACATTTTAATCTGTTTTGATTATTGGTTCATTTTCTAAAGTGTTTAGTAAAGTTTTTTTTTCCAATAGAATTAGTGTTAATGTCTCATATTTTTTTTGAAGATTAGTTGCCAACTACTCTCCAGATAGAACTATTATCTACACGTTCATCCTTTGATGCCTGAATTAACAAGTAACTAATTATCACATCATGAAACAATTAGTTTAATTTCTAGTTTATTCTATGTAATTCATTTACGCCGTAACAAATAATCATAGCGATTCAATTAAATGACATAATAAAGTCTCCAGTCATTGTTTGACTTTACTAAGCGGATCCAAATCACCAAACCTGAATGTTTTGATACAACCTGGATCAACAATCATTGACCTTAAAAACTATTGTCATCCATTGATCTAACGCTTTTGAGTTGGCAGTGATTAGGTCATATGTGTTAAATGGTCAGTTCAATTAACCCAATATTTACAGCCCCATCATTAGGTTCACCATTCCTAATTGAAACGATCTAAGGTTTGCATTGAAAATGCTGTTCAGAAAAAAACAATGACAGCTTCACAATTAAACCCTCTGACTCAGTGTACAAAACTTCACCAGAATCACTTACCTGAGTTGATAATCCTTTGTTCAGTCTGAAAATCTTAATACTATACATATAAGTAATCCCATTATATGTGAGCCATGATTTTTTAAGACTTGTGTTTTTTTTCGATATTTAAAGCTACCAATAAATCAGCAAACATTTTCAGTATATTCTACATCCAACTTTTGCCATTTTAAATCGACCCTTAACTAGTGAATAGTCAGTCCCTTACAACGTTGAACTTCGTACGTACGTATATCATTTCAGGTTGCCATACCGCATCAGCACAAAAACACAACTTTCACTTCCAATACGATAATGGTGAAGATAGTAGAAGTATTAGCAGTAATGGAGAAGATATGATTCGAAAAGCATAATTCAGCGGCATACATTTAGAAAGCGAAAGATACAGATGATGAGGAATTCAGAAGGTAAGAATTAAAAAGCACACAAAGAGTGGATGCACCTGCGCCATTGCAAACGATTTTGAGCCATGTCATTCAAGGTCTCTAACCATCGGTGACTTTCATCTCGCGGACCCCAACCAGGTAGTCTACATCTACCAACATGACTCAGTTCACTTGTCAGTGACTTCATGGATTTGTGCCATGTTTTGGTCTGGCCGCCCTTAACTTTCTTCCAACCTACTCCTACATCACAAAACATAGCTCGTCGAGGCGGTTGATGGTTGCGCATTCGTAACGCATGTCCCAACCACATCAACCGATGGAGTTTCAATGCTTCATCTACTGATCTGCCATACTCAATTAGGACCCGTTTGCTAACGACAGCATCGCTTACTCGGCTGTCCCATGATATACGAGCAATGCTCTTGAGACACCTATGATCGAAGAGAAGCAACCTACAAATGTCCTCTACCTTCACCGGCCATATATCGAATTCATATAAAATAAGACAGAGCGAATGTGTGAATAACACATATCTGATAAACAAAAGCAGTGATAAGTTGATAGTTGCAATTACTTACTTACTGTAGGGTTTTTGATCATGATTTTTTGTGTAATTCACATAGCAGAACAAAACTATAACTGTTTAATGCTAATTGTAAATTAATATAATCCTATCCTACCATTTTAATAAATGTTTAATAAGCTAAATCACGTAAACGTCCACATCGAGATGATACTAGTGAAGGTGGTGGATCATTTTTATCATCATCATCATCATCATCATCAACTGATGATTCAAACACTTCACTAGCATCTGACAGTGATATTGATTCTAATCAAGGAAGAAATCATCATCGTTCCAGTTCGTATATTTCTTCTTCAACATCAACTAGTTCAATTGGTCATAGAAAACGTTTAAAATTATCTAATAATGATCATGCTAAGGTTAGTTGTATTGTCTTTTTATTCTGTTCAATGTTCATGTTCATTATAAGAGAAATTTATTTATTTGTTATAAAATTCAGTATGAAGTATATATTGTGTCATTATCATCAATTGTAACTTCTTTATTTGTTTGTGTGTTTGACGTTGGATTAAATCAAATTAAAATTAGAAACATTCAAAGTCAAAGACCAACATATCAATTAATAATGAATATAGATAAATTGAGAACCGGAATTCTCTACATCAAGTGGTGTCCGTCAGGGATGTCAACTTTCTCCATTCTTGTTTAATTTTATCATAGACATGCTCCTAGACATAACAATATCCTCGTCTGAATTTTCAGGAGTAGACCTTTTACCAGGTGGCTCGCTTATTGACTTAGAATATGCCGATGACATAGTCCTACTTGGTGAAGACGCTGACAAAATGCAGAGTCTTCTGACTACCCTAAGCAACAATGCAAGCATGTTCGGGATGCGGTTTTCCCCCTCGAAATGCAAAATGTTGATTCAAGATTGGGTTTCATCGGCACCTGAACTAGTGATAGGTAGTGAAGTAGTCGAACGTGTAGACCGCTTCACTTATCTGGGGAGTCTCATCAGTGCCGATGGCCTGGTGACTGACGAAATCTCAGCTCGGATACAGAAAGCTCGATTGGCTTTTGCCAACCTGCGTCACTTATGGCGTAGGCGTGATATCCGTTCTCTAATCAAAGGACGGGTGTACTGCGAAGCAGTTCGCTCTGTTCTCCTATATGGCTGTGAAACATGGCCAGTGAGAGTAGAAGATATTCGTAGGTTACTGGTTTTCGATCATAGGTGTCTTCGAAGCATTGCTCGTATATCGTGGGACAACCGAGTGAGCAATGCTGTCGTTAGGAAACGAGTACTAGGTAAGAATGGCAGATCAATAGATGAAGCATTGAAACTCCATCGGTTGATGTGGTTGAGACATGTGTTTCGAATGCGCAACCATCAACTGCCTCGACGAACTTTGTTTTGTGGTGTAGGAATAGGTTGGAAGAAAGTTAGGGGCGGCCAGACCAAAACATGGCAGAAATCCATGAAGTCATTGACTAGTGGACTGAGCCATGTCGGTAATTGTCGACTACCTGGTTGGGGTCCGCGAGATGATAATGATCGATGGTTAGAGACCTTGAATGACATGGCTCAAAATCGTTTGCAATGGTGCCGGTGCATTTATTCTTTGTGTTCTCTCAAACCCTAATCTTCTGGATTCTTCAACACCTCTAGTTTCGACTCTCTAAACTTTTCTCACTGAATCATACTTCTTGAATAGTATCTTCTAATCCTAACCTCTCCGATTACTTCTAATTCCCTTACTACCTCTACTACTATTGGATTTGATTTGACATTTGCGTCTCTGTGCTGATTAGGTATGGCAACATGAACTGATGTACTTACGTACGAAGTTCTACGTTGCATCTGACTGACTGACTGAGATAAATTGAGAAGCAGTAAACGATTTGTTTACAACATAAGCTAATAACCGTATATATATAGTATTTCAACTCGTTATTTTTTTTAAAATTTTCACAGCGTTTTTAAAAAAATAAAAAGAATACTATTTTTTTTAAAATTCAAGTCTTCTTTAGCAATTGCTTTTATAAACAGTTGCGACGTATATGCCTTGAATAATCTTGTAAACAAATCATTTGTGGTTAATTGATTTACAGAATTTAATGTATATAAGATTTGTTAAATGATTCATTAAATCCCCGCTTGCCAATGATCTTCTTATATATAATGGATTTAATTTTGGAAAATACAAATTCAATTGGATTAAGCATATAAAACTATAAGGGGACAAAAACATAACGTTTACTCCCTTTTCATCTTGACTCTGTGGATCGTCAGGTTCTGTGGCAGTGTCTGTCATTGAAAGGTGTACCAAAGAAGTACATTAACCTTATACAAGCCCTTTACTCGAACACCACTGGTCGAGTGAGGGCTTATGGCGAACTGTCACCGGAATTCTCTACATCAAGTGGTGTCCGTCAGGGATGTCCACTTTCTCCATTCTTGTTTAATTTTATCATAGACATGTTCCTAGAAATAACCTTATCCTCGTCTGAATTTTCTGGAGTAGGCCTTCTACCAGGTGGCTCGCTTATTGACTTAGAATATGCCGATGACATTGTCCTACTTGGTGAAGATGCTGACAAAATGCAGAGTCTTCTGACTACTCTAAGCAACAATGCAAGCATGTTCGGGATGCGGTTTTCCCCCTCGAAATGCAAAATGTTGCTTCAAGATTGACTTGCGTCGGTACCTGAACTAGTGATAGGGAGTGAAGTAGTCGAACGTGTAGACCGCTTCACTTCTCTGAGGAGTCTCATCAGCGCTGACAGCCTGGTGGCTGACGAAATCTCAGCTCGGATACAGAAGGCTCGATTGGCTTTTGCCAACCTGCGTCACTTATGGCGTAGGCGAGATATCCGTTTGCTGACTAAAGGACGAGTGTACTGCGCAGCAGTTCGCTCCGTTCTAATTTATGGCTGTGAAACATGGACAGTGAGAGTAGAAGATATTCGTAGGTTAGTGGTTTTCGATCATTGGTGTCTTCGAAGCATTGCTCGTATATTGTGGGACACCTGAGTGAGCAACGCTGTTATTAGGAATCGGGTGCTAGGTAAGAATGGCAGATCAATCGACGAAGTGGTGAAACTTCATCAGTTGAGGTGGTTGGGACATGTGTTACGTATGCCTAACCACCGACTGCCTCGTCGAGCTTTGTTTTGTAGTGTAGTAATAGGTTGGAAGAAAGTTAGGGGCGGCCAGACCAAAACATGGCAGAAATCTATGAAGTCATTGACGAGTGGACTTAGCCATGTCGGTAATTGTCGACTACCTGGTTGGGGTCCGCGAGATGATAATGATCGATGGTTAGAGACCTTGAATGACATGGCTCAAAATCGTTTGCAATGGCGCCGGTGCATTTATTCTTTGTGTTCTCTCAAATGCTAATCTTCTGGATTCTTCAACACCTCTAGTTTTGAACTTCTAAACTTATCTCATTGAATCATACTTCGTGAATAATATCTTCTAATCCTAACCTATCCGATTACTTCTAATTCCCTTACTACCTCTAATACTATTGGATTTGAATTGACAATTATATCTCTGTGCTGATGTGGTATGGCCACATGAACTGATGTACTTACGTATGAAGTTCTACGTTGCATCTGACTGACTGACTCCCTTTTCATCTAAAAAAGTTTTTTAGTAGTATTAGAGTGATGGATCTTTGCATTATCAAGGATAAAAAAAGCAATTCCTAAAAATGGATTTTTGATTGCATTTTTCAATCAATTAATCAAAAATATGGATGAACTTATCGGAGTTCACTGAACCAAAAAATGTTTAAGCAAAAACAACTACATTTTCTGTTATTGCGGATATTTTCAAACTTACATTAGTTCCACGTAGTGACGGAACTATGGCACTTGTTGGTTTTCCTCTTGTAGATCTTTCTAAAGTTCTTCTCAAATACTAATTAAAGGATGATTCATCAATAAAAACTTTTATGAAACAGTCTTCGATATTCATAAAATCTTGCGCATATATTTGTCGTTCAATTTTTTCTTGATTCTGAGTTGATATTCATCGATGTATAAGGACATATTAAGGATTATAAAAAGTTTTAAAAAACGCTGTGAAAATTTAAACAAAAACGAGTTGAAATACTATATATATATATATATATATATATATATACATATAAATGGCGCGTAAAATTATGCCCTGTGTACACTCATTCACAGCCAATCACAGCTTACTTCAACTGGATATTTCACTGATCCTTTATATATCTTAATGTTGATGATTTAATCACATGGTCAATTTCATGTGAATTTTTTCCATTTCGGTCAACAATATCGTTAGCGTATCATAAATGCGTAGTAGATGCACTCTAAATGTATTTCAAATTGAATTATATCTGACGTTTTAATAGGGTCTCCTTAAAGTTAAATGAGGCTCTGACAATTAAATTGGCTATTTATCAAATAGTCTTTCAAAGCAAGCCATCATACAATTGTGTCAAAGGTTAAAGTTTGTTTTATTCTGAGTACTATTTGATAAAATGCTGATCAGCTGATGATGATGATGATGATCGGGTTGATTGGTAACTAAATGCTTACAAGGCTAAGTTTACGAACTAATTAAATGATCTCTCTGTATTTAGATGACAATAATAAGAATCCACTAGATGAGCATTCAATTACCTCTGTATTTTTCACTTTCTTTGGACATTATAAACATTCAAAAACTCAAATCAAAAAAATAAAACATCACATGTAGACAGGCTATTGATATGCAATTATATATGTATGTAAGCCATTATAGACTCAACAAATTAAGTTCTACATTTTTGAAACCATGAATTGATTAATGTTAGACCACCATTAGAAACCTGGAAGCACTGGACAGCCGTTTCATCCTGGTATGGGACCCCTCAGCAGTGCGCATCCACGACTCCTGCACCCCGCAGGATTCGAACCCAGGACCTTCGGTATTGTAGGCGAACGCCTAACCATCGGACCACTGAGCCGGCATCTAACGGTGTTAATGTCTAACTTGATCAATTCACGGAGTTGCGCAACCTCATACATAGTCTTCGGTAGTTACTGTCTACACCCGAACAGGTTGAACTTTACTAGTCACTTCTTCCCACTAGAATTCGGAGAAGATTCCTCACGAAGCTAGTCACTAGTGAGCACAAGTAATTTGCATTACATGGTTGTGAAGATTGTTAAGTTATATATTCGTTTTTGTGAGTATTTGATTAAATTGTAAAGAAGCTAGCAAATCACTTTTCAAGATGAAAAAAAAAACTGTGTACAATCAGCATGTGATCAAAATGTTTCAAACTGATACACTACTGAACATATTTAATCTTTCATTGGGCATTGATCATTTACATGCTTTTGTCTTTGAATTTGAAAATACTGAAAATTGTCACAGTATTATTCGTTTGTAATGGCATAGGTGTATGCACTCTTTGTGTTCTCTCAAATTCCAAGCTTCTGTATTCCTCATCATCTTTATCTTCCTCTAAATAAAGTCATTTCATTGAATTATACTTCTCGAATCATATTTTCAAACTCAAATCTTCTCCGTTACTACTAATACTTCAACTATCTCTACGACTATGAGATTTGGACTGACTATTGAGTCTCTCTGTACTGAAGCTCAGTGGCAACTTGAACTCTCATGTACAAAGTTATAAGTTGTAACTAAATGACCACTGATTGATTACTCGATAGAATTTGTAATATTAGTAATATTAGTAAATCCTATATAAACACTCCTAACTTATATCATTTACTGTTTTCGTTTAATACTTCTTTTGTTTGTTTGTTCTGTTTTCTATCTATTCATATGAATAAAGAATGAGAAAATTGGTCAACGTTGGATAGATTTAGCGAATAGTTTTGAATTTGAAAAATTACGTTTTGGTCATACAGCACCAAAACATCATTTTATGTGTAGTGTTTGCGGTGAATTCAATAATAATACTACTACTACTAATAATACTACTAATAATAACAATAACTCTTCGGCGGCCACAACGACCACAACAACAACACCAACAATCAATACAATACTACAATCTGATGTAACGCATACAACAACATTGTTAGATTCACAGAAAATTTTTCATCAACAACATGATAAATTAGATAATTTGATTATGCCATGTGTTGGTTATTGTGGAAATTATCTTCATTTAAATTGTGCACCGTATGTATTTTATCGAAGTATTAAACAAAAAAATCTTGATCATAATGGTACAGATGATAATAATAATAATAATAATAGTAATAATAATCAAACAACAGCCACATCAAGTACTACAACTAATAATAGTAATAATAATAATAATAATACAAAAGATATTAAATGTTCAATAATAACAAAAGATCTAACAATCATATCAGAAACCAAAGCTGATTCAATACAACCTAATCCAGTGTGTAATCTTTGTTTAGCTGGATTAAGACAATGTTTCATTTGTTATGTAAGTTTAAAGTTGATACATGTTTGTTTGATTGTATCAATGTCTTTTTTTTTGGTTATTAAAATAGGTGATTTGTTTCTGTTGTCTTTAAAGTTGTGTTTTTTTTTAACCCACTGATATAATTACATGTGTTTGTATTCGTAACAACAAAGAATATCATTGGTAACCCATTTAATCTGGATGACGCAAAATATTTTTGATCCCATGATTTATTTATTTCATTTAAAATAGATTTTTTATGTTCTTGAAACAAAATGCAGAGTCTTCTGATTACCATAAGCAACAATGCGAGCATGTTCGGGATGCGGTTCTCACTCTCGGAATGCAAAATGTTGTTTAAAGATTGGGTTGCATCGTCACCTGAACTAGTCATAGGAAGTGAAGTAGTCGAGCGTGTTGATCGCTGCACTTCTCTGGGGAGTCTCATCAGCGCTGATAGCCTGGTGACTGACGAAATCTCAGCTCGGATACAGAAAGCTTGATTGGCTTTTGCCAACCTGCGTCACTTATGGCGTAGGCGTGATATCCGTTCGCTAACCAAAGGACGAGTGTACTGTGCAGCAGTTCGCTCCGTTCTCCTATATGGCTGTGAAACATGGCCAGTGAGAGTAGAAGATGTTCGTAGGTTACTAGTATTCGATCATAGGTGTCTTCGAAGCATTGCTCGTATATCGTGGGACAACCGAGTGAGCAATGCTGTCGTTAGGAAACGAGTACTAGGTAACGATGGCAGATCAATAGATGAAGTAGTGGAACTCCATCTGTTGAGGTGGTTGGGACATGTGCTGTGTATGCCTAACCACCGACTGCCGCGACGAGCTATGTTTGTGGTGTAGGAGTAGGTTGGACGAAAGCTAGGGGCGGCCAAACCAAAACATGGCAGAAATCCATGAAGTCATGGACAAGTGGACTGAGTCATGTTGGTAGATGTAGACTACCTGGTTGGGGTCCGCGAGATGATAGTAATAGATGGTTAGAGACCTTGAACGACATGGATCAAAATCGTTTGCAATGCGCAAGTGCATCCATTCTTTGAGCTCTCTCAAATCCTAATCTTCTGGATTCTTTAACACCTCTACCTTTGTCTTTCTAACCTTATTTCACTTAATTATACTTCTTGAATAATATCTTCAAACCCTAGTCTTCTTCATTACCATTAATACCTCTACTATCTCTATCACTATGGGATTTGATTTGACATTTGCGTCTCTGTGCTAATGTGGTATGGCAACCTGAACTTATGTACATACGTACGTAGTTCTACGTTGCAACTGACTGACTGGCTATGTTCTTGAAAGAAAGGTGTTTATACGGAAGCTCAGTTTTCGATAATACGTTTTTTTTATTCTATATGGTTTGTTAGTTCAAACATTTAATTTGCACTTGAAACCACTTTCTTGTTATCCAAACTGTCGAATAGTCTCATTAAGACGCTCTTACAATGAACGTTACCCTTAATCCAATAATAAAACCTGTTCATAAATAATGGATTTACACTGTTATCAGTTTTCTGATAAAATGCATTGATTAATTTACTTTTTTTGTATCGTAATTCAAATATTAAAAGTCCTATACATCTTAATTATATCCACTGTTTTCATTCCAAATTGCTATTGTATTCTTGTTACAATGAATCATGAATCTGACTCATTTATCAGGTATATATTTATTCACTGGACAACAAGCCATTCTTTCAGTATGGAGGCTAATAATACCATCCTGTTGTTCAATTAAAAGTAGATGATGCCAGGCTCAAACCTTGCCCTAATAGTTTACATCATAGTACTTTAATTACTAAACTAGTGTTATATACGTTATTACTTACACATACCTATTATCTTTCATATTATTTATTGTACTGGCAGATATTGATTTCACAACGCAATGCACAAATCATCTTTATATTCTATTCATGTTTAGTCATACTATGAAAGAAAAAAAACATTATGTAAATGTTATTTTATATTGCTTAGAACCATTACAACATTCGTTTATGCATCTTGTTCTTTAATTTTTTTCTGTTGTACTTATTTTCAAACAGAATATGCATAGATAAATATGATGATGAAGTATTGAAACTTCATCAGTTGAGGTGGTTGGGACATGTGTTACGTATGCCTAACCACCGACTGCCGCGACGAGCTATGTTTTGTGGTGTAGGAATAGGTTGGAAACAGTTGAAAAATATCTGGAACTCCAAATAACTTTCAACCAAAACCAAAATAAGGATTTTCAATACAAATGTGAAGACAGTTCTACTGTATGGAGCGGAAACTTGGAGAACTACCAAAGCCATCATCCAGAAGATACAAGTGTTTATTAACAGCTGTCTACGCAAAATACTTCGTATTCGTTGGCCAGACACCATCAGCAACAATGTACTGTGGGAGAGAACAAGTCAGATTCTAGTGGATGAGGAAATCAGGAAGAAGCGGTGGAAGTGGATAGGACACACATTGCGGGAAGCACCTAACTGCGTCACAAGACAAGCCCTCACATGGAACCCTGAAGGCAAAAGGAAAAGAGGAAGGCCAAAGAATACACTACGCCGAGAAATAGAGAAAGATATGAGAGAAATGAACAAACATTGGACAGAACTGGAGAAAGAAGCCCAGGACGGAGTTGGTTGGAGAAAACTGGTGGGCGGCCTATGCTCGATTGGGGGTAACAGGCGTAAGTAAGTAAGTAAGTAAGAATAGGTTGGAAGAAAGCTAGGGATGGCCAAACCAAAACATGGCAGAAATGCATGAAGTCACTGACAACTGGACTGAGTCATGTTGGTAGATGTAGACTACCTGGTTGGGGTCCGCGAGACGAAAGTCACCAATGGTTAGAGACCTTGGAAGACGGCTCAAAATCGTTTGCAGTGGCGCAGGTGCGTCCACGCTTTGTTTTCCCTCAAATCCTAACCTTATGAATTCCTCATCATCTTTATCTTTCTCTTTCTAAATGTATGTCACTGAATTATACTTCTCGAATCATGTCTTTTCTCCCTACTCTTCTCCATTGCTGCTAATAATTCTACTATCGCTATCACTCTTGGATTTGGACTGACAGTTACGTCTCTGTGCTGACGTGGTATGGCAACCTGAACTGATGTACTTATGTACGAAGTTCTGCGTCGTATCTGTCTATATATATATATATATATATATATATATATATATATATATATATATATATACCGCTGTTTTACTCAGTTTATCACGACATGTTATAAAAGTTCTTTATACAAAAAATCGCTACTTCTTATGAATGACGATTACAAGTAAATTGACTTCCTTCATTACTTCACCGCATATTGTCTTTTCTGTTCGGAATTCAAAAGATTTCCGGTAATTTGGAAGCAATTTGAAATTTACTGTGTAACCATTCAAAAATAATGCTTCATAGATATATTACTTATTTACTGAAAGTTTGTTATTATCAAATATGATCAAATCACTAGTTTTGTTAGATATATTATCGTCGTCCTAAATCTTTACTTTTTAAATTTCGATTATTTTGATATTTATTTTAGCTTACGCATCCAGATCCTCATTTATTAACACTTCAAGGATCTAATTGTTCAGAAACTCCTTCTGTGGATCATGCAAATTCAGATTCATCTATTGTTGACAAAACTATCTCTGAAGTAACTATAAAAATTGAAGATGGTGCCAATGATGTTAGCTCACATCAAAAAGAAATCCAGTTAATATCAGAGACAAGTAAATCGGAATTACCTAAAAGTGGTGATCAAATGATACGTTGTTCAGTACGTGCTTGTCGACGATGGTATCATCCGGGTTGCCTTCGTAAACCACCTTTTGCTGTTGTAGTCCGAGAAGGACGTTCTGGTTCATTCACTTGTCCTGCACATACTTGTTTAGCTTGTTCAGCTGAAACACCTGGTACTATGCCACGACCTTCTCCTCATTTTATTCGTTGTGTTATGTGTCCTGCTGCTTATCATCCAGGAGATTGGTGTTTACCAGCTGGTAGTAAAGAAGTTAGTATTATTTGAGCATATTATTGTATATGAATATAGTCTTACTTTATATTTATTTATTGAATTGACTAATATTTGTAGACGATATATTTATTGATTTATTCACATTCCTGAAAGGAGGAATCATCAAAACATTGTTGGTTTAAATTAATTCTAAAAATCTACTCACAATTTACTCAATGCGATGGCTTTCTTTTCAAAATAATCACAAACAGATTGTCATTTCATATAAATTGTTTTTTTTTTAAATTTTCAAATTCATTATGGTAAATAAACAGTAAATGACATGACTGTAATGATTACATTCATTTCGGCGTATAGTATGAATTTATTTATATAATACAAATAACAGATATGATAGTATTGTTGGGGATGTTAGATCGCCAAAACTAGCTTGATAAATTACTTATTTTGGTTTTCACGTTGCGAGCATGGGCTGATCAGTTGACCTCGAGATTCCAATTCCCACCAGGAGAATTCATGGCTGTGATTGGCTGCTGTGTATTTTAGTGTGCTATTTTTGTGACTGTCCCAAGGACGTTTCTATGGTGTATAAATAAACAAGAGTAGTATGCTTGATTGTACTGTTATGGTGCGAGCTACTGATAAGTAGTATATGACGTGAGTGTCAACGTAATGTCTAGCAGCAGAAGATGGGGGAAGATCAAGAAAGAAAGAGTTAGAAAACAATGGAATTTGTATAGAACGCATGAATAGTGACAATGGGTTGATGTTTTGCAACAGAAACAGTCCAGTTCGATATGATGGACTGATATTTTGCAAATGAACGATTCACGATATGGTTTTCCTATTTTACTCTCTTTAATTTTCGTTAAATACAATCCGGTTTCCCCAGCTGTGTTCTCGTTCACTGCACTGTGATTGCTGGGTGTTTGTAGAATATACTTTCTACGCTTACAAAGCCTTCTTACTTTAGTTTGGGATTCAAGGTAGCCTACCTGGACGCTGGTCATTGTCTCGTTCGCGTTTATCGACTAAGGTAAACTCGTAATAGCCTCAAGCATACTTAGTGACGAACACAATAAGTATCAGTAAGATAGTTGAATATATTAATCAATATACAATTACTTATCTCATGCCTTTTCGATAGAAAAAAAATGGAAAGAATAAAAACGTGTGCCATGTTTTAGTTTGAATTATTTACTACTAAGTCATAATAATATGAATACGTATACATTCTTGTCAAATGTATTAGATAAGATAATTTGGAAATTTCTAAATAATAAATAAATTTAAAACAGCTGCATTTAAACCATTGTCTTTTTTCGAATTACTAATTCGGCACTTAATTGATGAAGTTTTAAGAAGGCATGAATGCTTATCAATTCTTACTTTGAATTCATTCATACACTATCGAATTACCATTTAGCAATATAGATTTATCTGTTATGCAAGATTGACCAACTGGATATTCCCCCTCCTTACTTGCTTACTTACTTACGCAGGCCTGTTACCCCCAATGGAGCATAGGCCGCACACCAGTTTCCTCCAACCAACTCTATCCTAGGCTTCTCTTTCCAGTTCTGTCCGATTTTTGTTCATTCCTCTCATATCTTTCTCTATTTCTCGGCGCAATGTATTCTTTGGTCTTCCTCTTTTTCTTTGACCTTGACGGCTTGTCTTGTGACGCATTTGGGTGCTTTTCGCAGTGTCTGTCCTGTCCACTTCCACCGCTTCTTCCTGATTTCCTCGTTCACTGGAATCTGGTTTGTTATCTCCCACAGTACGTTGGTGCTGATCATGACTAGCCAACGAATCCGAAGTATTTTGCGAAGACAACTGTTCATAAATACTTGTATCTTCTGGATGATGGCTTTGGTAGTTCTCCATGTTTCCGCTCCATACAGTAGAACTGTCTTGACATTTGTATTGAAAATCTTGATTTCGGTGCCCTCCTTACTTACGTACTTACTTACTTACGCCTGTTACCCCCAATGGAGCATAGGTTGCCCACCAATTTTCTCCAACCAACTCAGATTTCCCCTCCGGAGTCTGTCCAAATCTATTGGAATTGCATAAGTTGCGACCGTTATGAATTTAAATTAGTTACATTGTCTAAAATAACATTAATCGATGGATGCCTTTCTTTTTAACTCTAACCAACATTCTCATATAATAATAATAACACCAGTAACAGCATATTAAATATTTCATTTAAACAAATTTCAGTGTATACTATATGTTAATTGAGGTTTTTTTGAAAAATTGAACTCAGTCATCATTCATAGTTGTTGAGTTTATGTACCTAAAAATAATAGCTGAATATCAAAGTTGGAGGTAGTTGGAAAAAAAAGTGACTGTTCACAGTCTTCTAACATTCAGTGATTTATGATCTACCAGTACATTTTATTATGTCAAATACCCATATATTTAGTTTTCAGCTGCACTACTGTAGTGAACGAGAACACAGGTGGGGCAACCGAATTGTATTTAGCGAAAATTACAGAGTTACTCAGTAAAATTGGAAAACCATATCGTAAATCGTTCATTTGCAAAATAACAGTTCATCATATCGAACTGGACTGTTTCTGTTGCAAAACATCAATCCATTGTCACTATTCATGCGTTTCATACAAATTCCATTGTTTTCTAACTCTTCCTTTCTCTTGATGTTCCCCCATCTTCGGTTGCCAGACATTACGTTGACACTCACGTCATATACTACTTATAAGTAGCTCGCACCACAGCACCACACTACGACATTAACTTATTACGAAAATGAAATATTTCTTTCAGTTTCGTTGTTTAAGTATATATAATCGTGAGAGATGTATATGTTTCCAGTGTATGAAAATTCTGGAAGCTTGTTTCTCAATTGTTAAAGATAGTTAGACAATTAACATATTTTCCTTGATATGATTTTATCCAATTACTCATTGATTGCTCCAGCTTGATCATTCTAAAACTTCTTGGTCATTTACATATTTTTCTTCTTTTTAAATCTTGTCATTGTTTTTTACAACACTTCTCTTTGTCCATAGTACAATCGGAGTATTTTTCTTTTTTTATTTACATTAGATTGCTCCTAATTTAATAATCTGTCCACGACATGCATTACAAGATGAATGCAAATTGTATACTTCACCTCCAAATATTCAACTTAAATTACCATCCTCAGGATTATTGAATATGTTTCGACCAACTAATGTTTCCTGGTGTTTTATTTGTTCTAAAGGTGGACGTATTATTTGTTGTGAAAATTGTCCAGCTTCATTTCATGAAGAATGTCTTAAAATTGATGAGGTAAGTGTTTTGTAATTCTCTTAGTCTCTATATACTTTTTTTACTTTTTATATTGGACTGATTTCCTTGTCATTTTACTAATGTTGAAGTCATTTAACTATATTGAACTAAGCCGTGTAAGCAGGTTCAGACTACCGGGTTGGGATCGGGGTAAATATAGTAATTAGTGATCGGTACAGGCCAGTTCTCCCCTAGATCTTGAGTTTTAACTTTGTCCTATATATTTTCTGTCTTACATGTTCGTGCCTTCTCAAATCATATTTTCTACATCTAATCCTTCCTACTATCATTGATACTGTCGTTACTTTTTTAGTACTTTGGCATTCCTCTTGTTAATTTCTCTCTGTGTGTCTCTGTGGATTGACATTGTTTAGCGAAGTTGATTTTGACTGACTGACTGATTGACTAATTGATGCTAATTGTAACAATTTGAGCATATTAACATAGTGTTGTATCATCTTACAGCTTATTCGTACCATTATTGTTTCGTTTATCGTATAATTAGTCCATTAATTGTCGCCTTAGATTATACTTAATTATCTAAACACAATGATATTAACACCTATGTTACTACTATCTTACATAAGCGATAATAATTTGCTGAAGTGATGATTCACACTTTCAGTTCAGATATAATATGTAATGTGAGATGGATACAATTAATAATTGCTCAGATGTTTTATGAAAAGATTCGTATAGGTTGTTTTTTCGTATCATTATCTTTACCACAAATTGACATTAGTTGGCAAACTATTGAAAATCAAGGTAGGTTGAACTGTTTTTTTATCGTTTTATGATAAATTCTCCATCTATCATCTTCTGATTTTGTAAGCCTCGTGCTGTTACGGGTATAAGGGCGGTTGTCATTTCCCGGCCGCCCACACCGTGGAAGGTTGTTTCTTGAGGAACGTGAAAAGGAAGGTAGATTAGTGTTGGTCCTATAGACTTGGGAGCGTGACCGCAGAGTCCAAGGGACAACTGCTTGAGGCCGGTCACGCACGGCCTTTTTAAGAAATGTTTTTTGAGGATTAGCTCCGTTCTTAAAGGCCCTTAGTGGGCACCCTTACCCAAGGAGACGGAAATCCGTGAGGTAGGGGAGGTGTGACATTTTTAGGGTCGACCTATTCTAACCCTTCCTTCCTTGTGAGAAGGCAGCATCGCTGCACATGCTGGTCGTCCGAGGGAAACACCTTACTGCTGTCACACCCCTCTGCAGTTAGCAGTACGACTTCGCCCTCAGAACTTGGGTAGTTGCTTTTAGTCTCATCGTTCTCCAATCGACCTGCCTGTCATGGTAGAACCTTCAGGAACATAAGTTCCAGCCAATATAGCTCGGTTGGGTCATGAGGATAGGCAAGTCCGACCACCACGTCAAGGTAGCAGCTTCGGTCGGGACGAGTGTACTGAGCATTAGTTCTCTCCGTCTTACTTTATGGCTGTGAAATATGGCCTGTGAGAGTAGAAGATATTCGTAGGCTACTGGTTTTTCGATCATAGGTGTGTCAGGAGCATTGCTCGTGTATCGTGGGACAACCGATTAAGCAATGCTGTTGTCAGTAAAAGGAGTCCTAGGTAAGTATGGCAGATCAGTAGACGAAGTATTGAAACTCCATCAGTTGAGCTGGTTGGGATATGTGTTACGTATGCCTAACCACCGTCTGCCTCTTTCTAAATTTACCTCACTTAATTATACTTCTTGAATAACATCTAACCCTAATCTCTCCGATTACTTCTAATACTTTTACTACCTCTACTACTATGGGATTTGAATTAACAATTGCATCTCTGTGCTAATGTTGTATGGCAACTTGAACTGATGTACGTACATACTTTCGAAGTTCTACGTTACTGTTGATTGATTGACTAATTGTTTTAGTTAGGCATACATTTTGAAATACAATGAACTTAATTTTAAAGCAAAGAAATGTAATAGTATATGTGTGGCATTGGTCATTCCATCTATTTCATAGTCATTGAAACACAATTAGCATTCTCTTGTACTAATATTTAGACTGTCACTTCAATGAATTTGAATAACTTATCAATAGGTTATTTGGCTTAAAACTGTATCTTTTTTATGCAAACTAGTTTGTCAACAGTTAATCAATCTCAGTAACCGTGTGAATTTTATGTCTCATCCACTGTTCATGTTATCGAGGTTGGATGAGTTAAAAAAAAACCCACTTTTTATTAAAATGATTGTTAACTACATAATCCAATAAACCTATTCACTTCACATCAGTTTATTCTATTCGGTGAATTTTTCAATAGAATATGATTAAAAGATCAGATATTTTTCAATATATTTTCATTAGGTTCCTGATAAATTTATCTGTGAAGATTGTACAAATGGTCGTATGTTACGTTATGGTGAAATTGTATGGGCTCGTCTACCACCAAGTTTACAATTGTATCATCAACGTTCTTTAAAATTATCCGGTGTATATAATTCACATCGTTTATCTGCATTTAATTTATCTGGTACAATGCGTTCTAATGATTATGCATCACTTACTGCTGGTATGTATTGGTGGCCTGGTGAATTAGTACATCCAAGACATTTACAAACAAATCATTGTCATGTACAATCAGACAATCAAACTGTGTCAATTAATTTTCAACCAACAACTAGTCCAACATCACATTCATTTAATCATATACTTGGTTCAGTGCTTGTTCGACTATTCGGTCTAAATGGTCGCCTATCACATCGACATTCACGTCCTGTTTATTTATGGACTACACGTGCTCGATTATTTCCTTATGAAGAAGGTGATGATAAACGTGGAGCTAGGTAAGTTAGTTGAATTGATAAATTTTATTCTTTTTTTGAAATCTTATATGCCAAAGTATTCTGAGAAAAATATAATTTTTTAAATATTTCAGTCAGTCAATCAGTCAGATACAACGTAGAACTTCGTACGTAAGTACATCAGTTCATGTTGCCATACCTAATCAGCACAGAGATATAATTGTCAATTCAAATCCAATGGTAGAAGAGGTAGTAAAGGTATTAGAAGTAATCAGAGAGGTTAGGATTAGAAGATATTCAAGAAGTATGATTCAGTGAGAAAAGTTTAGAAAGTCAAAACTAGAGGTGTTGAAGAATCCAGAAGATTAGGATTTGAGAGAACACAAAGATTAAATGCACCGGCACCATTGCGAACGATTTTGAGCCATATCATTCAAGGTATCTAACCATCGATTATTATTATCTCGCGGACCCCAACCAGGTAGTCGACAATTACCGACATGGCTAAGTCCACGTGTCAATGACCTCATGGATTTCTGCCATGTTTTGCTTTGGCCACCCCTAACTTTCTTCCAACCTATTCCTACACTACAAAACAAAGCTCGTCGAGGCAGTCGGTGGTTAGGCATACGTAACACATGTTCCAACCACCTCAACTGATGAAGTTTCACCACTTCATTTACTTCTTGCTTTTGCCCCATTTGCTTTCCGTTTTCCTCTTGTGATCGTGAGAGTTCTTCTTTCACGTCCCTTCTTATACTACTTATATCGTTCGTATAAGTAGCACACACCACAGTATTAGACAGGTGCTGACTTGTCAGCAGTACACATTCATAACCTGATCAGGAAGCGTACCCAAGACTTTCAGCTTTTACGATGAGCACTTAAACTCTGTATCATTAAATTTACAATATTTCAGTATCGTTATCTAGTGCCATTAACAGATAACTGCTTCATTTCGGACATAGTTAAACTTCACTAGTCATGGCATTTCACTGGAACTCTGGAAAATTATCTTTTATATACTTACTAGTAATTTAATTACTTTCAAGTAGACTTTATTGTAACTAGAAAGTGTAACTTTAATGATATAAATTGAAGTACTCAGCTAATTTGTGAAAATTTAATTTATAGTTTTCATTTCAATCTCCATATATTATGCGTAATTTTCGTATGACTTAGTGTTCAATATATATAACAGTATAATTTTAGATTATTATCGGCTAATCTGTTCTCAGTAGTTAGTTACATAGATATATATATTTTTTTAAAATCTTTTTATAATTCCTAGTTACTGTTTTAGTGTAAGACTATAATTTAATCACGACCTTTGGGTGGTTTTAAAGAGCTTCACAACTACCACTTTCTAGGGTCAAGAATTAGGTTATGCATTTGTGTAACAAATTAGGATGAAGGGTTAAAGCTGAGAGGTTAATGTTAGGAATTTAGAGTAAAAGAACTGTTACCAGTTTTTTAATGTCAAAATATTATTTAACCTTCTCTAGTTAAATGAATTTTTTGCAAAGATCCAATAACTGATTGATTCATTCATTCAAGTTCTTTTCTTATTTGTAGTACTTTTTTTTTGTGGTTATTCTCTTCCTCATTTTAAAGTTCCAATGATGATGATGATGATGAGTCAACGGAATCTGAAAGAGAAGGTGATGTTAGTGTGAAAAAAAAATGTCACACAAAACAACGTACCAATCGTAGCCGTCGTCATCATCATGGTGACGATAATGATGATGATGATGATAATGATGGAGAAGATGAAGATCCTTTGTTAGAATTAAATTCAAGCAATTTACTTGTTGAAGAAAATCATAATAATAATAATAAAAGTTTGAATACAAGTTCTAATGAAAATAACAATTCTATGGAATCTCCTACTGGATCAATAAACAAGTCAACTAGTCGTTTATCTCGTAATTTATGCTTAAGACCACGTGTAAATAATAAATGTGTCAATGATGAGAATTCTACTAATTGTACACCGAATTCACAAACACCACCATCTGTGATTAGACGAAGAAAATTTATCTACAATGCTGCATTAAAACAAGCTGCTCGTGGTTATCTTAAAAGACAAGAGAAATTCTCTGAATTACTAGGTAGAACACGTCGTCCAGATTATTATAAACCAATAAAGGTATGTATTTATACCAACATTATTATTATTATTAAATTTTGAAATATATTTAATGTTATTTTGATTAAGTGATGCACGAATATTTGTGCTACCTGTTTTCTAACATCAAAAGATTTCAACAAGTTACCTCTTTTTTTGTTTGTTTTAACATGTTAAGTGTGTTTCTTAAGCACGGAATCTATTCAGGCGTATATATATATATATAAAATGTTTACGACCTATCACTTCATATGGTACAAAAAAGTACTACAATCGGAGACATCGCAATCGCTAGCAATCTGATGAAAAATGAATGAACGTTAATAAGATGTTGACTACTGAACTAATGACTTCCCACTGCCAATCACTAATTGTTTTACAAAGGAGACTTGTTGAAACATTCCATACTGAGAATTCCATATCGTATTGAACATATAATATTGATATTTTCAGTTAGAGCTTTGGAGATTTGTGTTTTGGACACATTTGAAATCATCAATCAATTAATCATTGTTAGACCATCACCATTAAAAACCTGGAAGCACTGAAACAAAGCTGTTTCGTCCTGGTATGGGACTCATCAGC